CAGACCTTGGTATGAAGGTCTAGCTGACTGCTCTGTGAGAGGAGCCACTCTGCTGCTCATTGAAGATCAAGAAGAACTGGTAAACTGATAATAACATTGCTCAGTTTAGAACATAACAATTTGTTGAAGCTTTGCTGACATATCTGGACTTTAACCAATGGTCTACGTTGAGGAAGTGAAGACTTGGATTTTAAACAGTTTAAAACCTAGATGTAGTGTAGAGGGCATTGGACTTTCCGAAGGGCAGGGTGCCTTGCCCTCTCTTAAGATTGGAGGGGGATGGGAGGCAAGGGGTGTGGAAGGTGTGGGAGGGGAGGGGAAGGAGGGGAGAAAGTGGGAATTTGTATTGGTATTTCTTTAAAGTAATAAAATATAACGGAATGAATCAATTAAAAGTAGAAATATCTAGAGATCAGTTTCACAGAGGAGAGAATTATGCCAGTGGGGAAGCTAGGATGGGATTCAAACAGGAGTAATAGTGTTTTCGATAGTTGGTAGAAGAAAGTGTGTCATGAATAAATAGATTGAAGATTAAGTCTTCCACTGTGTTTTGGTTATAGAGATACTTCCAGAATTTCTCAAAGAGAGAAGGACATCAGTTTTATATTGGACTAAAATATATGCAAGTGGAGCAGATCTGGAAATGGACAAACGGTTCTACTTTAAATCCTGATCTGTAAGTATTAAATGAGGTAATTTAAATACTCAATTCTCATTCATTTTTACTGAAAATTGAATTTTGTAATTTTAATTTAGTGTATAAATTCTTGAGATTGTTGACATAGACTGAAAAGACAATTTCAGAATTAGTTGCAAAGTTTCATGTACACGTAGATAGAAACCCTTTATAATAATATGTGTATTTAATTACAATGGAATTTTAAAAGACAGGAAGTAGACTAACTTTTTACTGTTAGAGATAAAATAGTTTTAAATGTTTTGGGGGAAACATATAGAATTTCTTTTTCTCTTTCTTTTTTCACACACACACTTTCTTAAAAATTTAAAAACATATTTATTTGTTTTATTTTCTGTGTGTTCTTGAGTATGGATGTATACCATGTTCATGCAGGTGTTCACAGTAGTCAGAAAAAAGCAGTAGATTTCTTGGAACTGCAGTTGCAGATGGTTGTGAGCTACCATATATATGCTAAAACTTGAACCTGGGCCCTCTACCAGAACAGTAAGCACACTTAGGCACTACATCATTTCTCTACCCATATGCAGAAATCATTCAGCGGTGCTTTAGAATTGTGGTAACAAAGTTGCACCATAGTGTGTCATGAAGTTACTTTCTCTAGGCAGAATGTCTCAGTATAGACATGGCTGTTTAAAAATTATTTTACACATAGTAATGATTAATTTTTCTTTCTTCGTGTGTGTGATGATTTTTTTGTGTATAATTGTGCTATGATGTAAAATGCTTACCTAGTCTTGATTCATAGTGAAAATGTGATGATAAATGAAGATATCCATGTCAGGAAGATTATTTAGCTCACCTGCTGTGTGATTTCACTCTTTGATAAAAGGATGCTCTGATTAGATGGCAGTGAGCAGGTAAATTTGGAAGCTGTCAGGCTACAATAGAAAGAGTGTCAGTCAAACTGGCTTTCATTTCATCTAGACTTAGAAAATGGTTCTGTGTAAAAGTTCTACCTGTATAAATCTCATAGTTCAGTACATTTAACCCCTATAAAAAGCCAGACAAAGAAGTTCACATCTGTATCACAGAACTCCTGCAGAGAGATGGGAGGTGGAGACAGTATAATAACCCAGAAATGCCTGGGCCAGTGAGCCTGGAGCACACAGGACAGTGGTTGAAACAAGGTAGTAAGGGGGTTCCCCCACAATTGTTCCTTAACTTCTACACAAATTTTGACCCTTCCACTCTCCTTCCCCAAAATATCTTTCACACATCCATGAAGTAAGTATTTATTCTAATTCCTTGGGCCCTTGTTTTCAGGTTAGGAAAACAAGTGAAAACTTAAAATTTCACAAGCGGGATTATTTTGGGAATTAAAGGAGATAAGGTTAGAGCTCTCACTGTAAGTCTGGCTGGGGTAGCCCTGGCAATCCACCAAATGCTTTTTGAAAAGAAATCACTGATTTGAACAAACATGCTTTAGGAAAAGGGTCTTGAAGATTGAAGAAAGAAGCTAAAAGATAAAAAATAAAATGTAGGAATATTTATAGAAGTCCAGTTGAGGGAAGCTAATACTTTGATTAGCATGCTGGGCACTAGTGTGACGTAAAATTTATTGCTTAAGGACGAGGGACACCATGAAGAAAGACAAGCAAAAGTCAGCTGTGAGGGTGCCCTGCCTACTGCCTGCTGGGTGACATCCTCCACTTGAGATAGGCTGCTCTTGAACTCACCAATTCCTTGTCATCACTGTTGTGCTAGAGCAAAGACCCAACATCTCTGGGATGAGAAGGGAAGGAACCAGATTCTGTTCCACATGAGTTGAGGCTCTTATTTTCTCTTTATCCAATTCTGTAGACCCATTGTGTTTACTCTTCATGTTGAATATATTTACTAAGCACCTACTGTATAACTATTGTTATACATTCATGTATACTTCAATGCTTTCTCTAAGCAGTAGTTGCTTATAGCCTATATATTTAAGGGAACTGACACTCAGCAAAATGAAGATGTCGTTCACATGATCACAAGAACTATTGTAGTAGAACTTCTCCTTTTCATACATCATGATAAATATTCTTGATGGACTAATTCTCCAGTGAGGGTACAACCGAAAATTTTAGAGGCTTCTCTTGGTGGTATCTTTAATGCTTATGTGTATTTATAATGTTTATACTGTGTGCTTAAGTACTATGTTGTCTTAGCATCCTTAAATGTCCAAAAATGGCTAGTGTGATAATTGCAAGAAAATCCTAACCACTAGGAGTAGCTATTCTCTGATTTTCAGATTACAAGTCACTGGCAAGGATAAAGAAAACAGCTGTGCAGTCATCTCACAGACAGGAGTGTTTTCTGACAGCTGTTTTGCAGACAGCCGGTGGGTCTGCCAAAAGAAACTGAAACATGTCTGAAATCCCATGTCCTGACTCCTGATTGTGAATGTCATCCCTATTCCTTTACCCTCTACACCAGATCTCTGCATTGAACTGTCAAGGCTGCCAGCTCGCCCCGTGCAGTTGGTGATACAAAGCCTGGCCTACAATACCACTGTGACTCTTACAGATGCTGACTTCCAGTTTCTTTAATTTGTGAATGCAACTGCACACAGACACAGATGTGTTATTCTAAGACAAGTGTTTTACAGATGGAAGCCCAGGCCATCAGGCGCACTGGAGTACTTGTGTGGCCTTTGTTGATCTAGGTGCATGAAATCATCTACAGACACCTGCAGAAGACTTTACAAAGTCCCAATCTCAACTGGACCTCCACCCTAAGCCACTTCACATCTGGGCTGTAGAACTTTGATTAAAGTCTTTGCCCTGACACCAGAAGCCCAGAGTTGGAAATGGAAGAGTGTTTTATTGACATCTCTGAAATTAGTCATGGACTAATGCTGTGATAATGAGAGTGACTCCAGGCAAAGGAGCTCTGTCAACATGACCCTTCCCACACTGCAGTCATCCAGCTGCATAGACTAGAGAGTTGGTGGCACCTTAGTGCTGGGCTTGTCAGTCCCCAGAGTTGTGAGACAAGAGGGGCTCTTTTGCAGTATTTTATTATGGTAACAAAAATAGACTAGGATAAGTCCTGAACTCTGCCCACTGCTGCACAAGTCTTCACATTTTAATTTTCTCATTACTTCTTTCTTCCATACTTGTATATATCTTATGGCTCATGCATAAACTGTAGGAAGTATGCCACTAAGTACTCGAGTATTTCAGTAGAAAATAAATGTCATATTTTTCAATTACTCAGTTAAGAAATTAAAAAAAGCAAGTATTTATTCTGGTAAATCTCTTGTATATCAACTTTTATTTCAACACTCAGCAATTTCATTAGTAATCCAAAGAATAAAATAGGTTTTACTGTATAAGGAGGCATAACAAAATTTCTATTATAATAGACATCTACATATGCTAGTCATTCATTGTCCAGTTTAATAACTTAAATTGAGGAATATGCTATGATCCAAGAAAACTTTCAAGTAAAAATAATTTTTCAATAAAAAATGATGTGTGTGTGTGTTTTGCTGCATGTGTGTCTTTGTACCATATTCATGAAAATCCTGTGGAAGTCAGAAAGAGGCATTGGATCCCCTTGAACTTAAGTTTTAGATGTTTGAAAGCTACAATGTGGGTACTGGGATCAAACCTGGATCATCTGAAAGATCAGGCAATACTCCTAACCATGAAGACATTTTAAAATCTCAATATTTGTCAGGAGCCATTTCCCTAAAAAAGTATTGCAGGGACCATTGTCCTGGGGATGTTTGCAGAGAGCCCCACACCCCAACTGTATTGAGAACTGTTTGTTGGCGGAGCCCACCACACACCCAACTATCTTGAGAGCTATCTGTTAGTGGAACCTGCCTCACATTCCAACTATCTAGAGAACTGTTTGTGGTTGGAATCATAAAAGGAACAATTCTGCTTGCATAGAGAACACTAGGTGTGTCTACTGGTGACCTCCTGACCAGGAATCGTGACCTCCTGATCAATGACTTGTGACCTCATGACTGGCTGGGACCATCGCTGCAAGATCCCTTCCTGCCTTGGTCATGCCCCTGCCCCTATCTCAACCCAAATTCCTCATCCAGAAGCTATATAAGCTGCTGCCATTACGCTAATAAATGGACGCTTTGACAACAGATCTTCCTTGGACCCCTTCCTCTCTCTTGCCCATGTCTTTTCAGATAGCGCCTCTTCAGGACCCTGGAATAACTGACCTGCCAGGCAGGTTACAACCCTAGACTAACTGACCCGCTGGGCAGTTACAAATATTCTTACTTGTTTTAGAAAAAAGTACCTACATAGTCATTGATTATAATTTTCTAGTATATCAAACATCAAAGTATAATTCTTTTGTGAAAATTCTTAGGACAAAATTCTCTAGGAAAACCTTTCAGAGGGAGCAGCATTAGAATGCAATGGTTAGGCTTTAATCCTAGCACTCTGGTGGCAGATACCTGCAGATTTCTATGAGTTTAAGGCCAGCCTGCTCTACAAGAGCTAGTTTCCCGATAGGCTACAAATCTACAGAGAAACCCTGTTTCAAAAAACCAGAAAAAAAGAACTTTGACGTTGGGGACACATCAAAGCTAAGACCATGCTTTCATAATTAATAGTAAGCCTCTGTGTCTGTTGTTATTTGTGAGCTGGAGGTCCAATGGGAAGTTCAACTACAAACTTATTTTTCTTTATGTGCCTTATCTCTCTCTTGACTACTTTTTGAAAGCAAATTTAACCTAGGAAGTTAAAAAAAATGCCTCTTATATTCTAAGATATTTTATATTTGCATTTTCTGAGTTTTGTGAAAGTATCTGTCAGAGATTTTGGAACCAGCCCCATACTCCAACCCAGACTACAGTCACAGTTTAAACTTGACATTTGAAAGTCATAGAAAATGATTTACTCTTTCCTTTTCCAGAATGGTGTGTCAGGCTATGAAGTGATGTATATGGTACATTATTTCAGGAAAGGTGGTTTTTCATCTATTTAATGATAAGTCAGATATGCCTAGTGATATTGCTTAGGTATATGCAGTTCTGGCCCTGTACTTAACCTAAACTTCATGCTAAGATCCCCAAAACAGGCTTTGAAAGTCAATGAATGTATTTGTCTAACTTCCGAATGTGTCCTCAGTGACTAAATCTTTGTCTATTGTTTATTTAATTGGGTTATTAAGGATGGTTGGACAAAAATGGCTTTTCCCAGATTCTGACATATTTAGAAACACCATCTGTTTATGATAAATACATTAACTGAATGGCTAGTGAGGGCCATTTTTAATCCCTCAAGTGAGCCTTTGTTATCAATATTATTTTCCTTTTCAAATATGGAAGATATGCAGTTTCTGAAAATGTTACCACATTTTTGTTTGAGTTAAATTTATTTTCTTATCTTTGAATATAAATGAAATTTATTGAATAAATAATACATATTTATTAAAGCTCATTAAAATAATACTTTTATTGTATTTATTATTATTGTGTGTTGTGGTTGTTTGATTATAGGTCCACAGCTTATGGCCATAATAGTATGTGTGACCTTGTTGGAGTAGNCTCTCTCTCTTCTGCCTGTAGCATTTAGTTGCTGTTCCCTGTTTGAGCAGAGCATTGTGATCTGTGAGTCTACCTCTAAATAAATAACCCTCTATTATATTCAATTCTGAACTAGTGTGGGATTTCTTTTATGCATCCTTCTTCATGTGGTGCCTCATGTGGATTTGGACTCCACACATACCAGGTAGATGGCTTAAAGGCCTAACTGGTCCACAACCCAGTTGTCTCCCACCTCCAACCACCTGTCTTACTTTTACACAAGCATTTTTTTCTAAAACCCCAACCACAGCTGTGCTAACTGCATGCAGCAACTTAAAAATTTCAAAGCTCATGTATACCTCCCCCGACGGCTGCATTTCCTGCCATGTGGAGACTTGCACAGCTTCCATGCAGCTTCTAGTTTGTACTCCTGGCCCCTGAGTTCTGGGCTTCTTTCTCCGTGTACAGAATTGAAATAATTGTTTTAAATTTGTCAATCAAAGCATATTTCTCAGTATTTAAGCATCACCAAGGTGGGGAAAGTTAAGCAGCTCAGGACTGTTCATGGCACCAGGTTCCACCTCTAGTTGTGACTCTGCAACCACAACACCTGCTGGACAATAAAGATTATTACACCTAAATCAATTTACCAGATCTCATAACAGGTAATTAATATATCAATAAAATTGAAAGCTATATAATTACAGACTACATTACCATTAAAATTTTTAATGACATTTTTGCTAATACTATGGAGTGTATTCTGCAAGACTTATATGGTTATTGTAATAATCCATTTATTGGATACTGGGATTCAGTTTTTTCTTCATATTATATCCTTAAGAAAATGGTTTGATAAAAGAGCCAAGAATGAGGCACTTTTAGAGATGATACAGTCTTTACAGACTAATAATGACAGCTGACAGGATTAATACCATTGAAAATCAAAAGTTACCTGAAAAAATTAATACTATTGAAAAAGGTAGCATTAATTTGACAGACAAATTTGGCTTACCAGGAAAGATTCTAACCTGCATCCATCTTAGGTGGAGGATCCATGGCTTCTCCCTCCCCACCCTTCTTCCTCCAGCATTCAGTTCTATTCTCCCTTCGCACACCTACCTATGTTCTGCCCTATCAAAAAGCCAAGGCAGTTTCTTTATTCATGAATCAATGAAAGCAACACATAAATAGAAAGACATCCTACACCAAACAACTCTGTACCATGCATTGCAGCTGGGGCTGGAAGGATTCAGTCAAGCACCTCCAGTAACTCTAACAGGTGGTCAGACACTACTAGGATGATTGAGTACATGGTAGTAAAATGGAAGAAAGATGGGCAGGATGACCCATGGACTGGGAAGAGAAGCAGATATGAAGAGGTGAGGGCAGTCGGAAACAGTCTGATATGAATGGTCTGCTAGCCTCAAGGTGATGTCTGGGCTATTGCCAAGCTTCAAGTCTTGGTCTGAGGCACTGAAGCAGCCTAGAAGGCCTGTGTTGATATCTTTGGCTCCTGTAACCACTGAGGGTCATACAGAGATATGTAGTGTGGGTCACCACTTGGGGTCATGCTGCCCACAGGGACCATGGTGGTCTAAGAGGCCAGCACTGTTACCTAGGACCATGGTGTCATCTGGAACAGGGCTGCTGCCAAGGGCCAAGTCTAACTATGTGACCCTACTGCAGCCAAGTGTTGATGTCTGAAGCTTCTGATAACATCAAAGGCCATGTTGATGCCAGGGGTCTGGCTTCTACCTCAGGTCATTTTGGTTTATGCTATAGGGGAACTTGACAATCTGAGTGGCCTTGGAGCCCAGGCTGCTTCCTAGGACCTTGTTTTTCTTTCACCTTAGTGTAGTAATAAGGGGC